CCAATTAGAGGGGATGCTATCAGTCTTACAGGTGGAAATTACAGCTGCCGAGACACCTACCTCTTTGCTACCGCTCCCTCCCATCACCCAGATTGCAAATACCACATCAGAAGGTGGGAGGCAGAAGTAACGAGGATGCTGGGTAACTGGAAATGCCCAAACTCCATTTAGAAGAAAAAGCAAAAATTGAAGACAGGTATTGCCAAGCACAAGCAGAACATGGAAACACCAGAGGAGTCATCAGGTGGACAACAGCCAAATTCGGAGAGGAAGCAGTGATAGAGATTATCAGCTGGAACTCACTCCAAAACAGGAATTGTTCAGTTTTGTCTTCTTTGAGCAAAGGGGGTGCTGCCATTCCTGGGTGAGATGGGGGTAATGGAGAAGGAGATCTCCTGGAGGGATGGTTGGAGTGGGTGGAAGAGCAGGTGATGCTGTGCAGTCCCAGAGAGGAGCCCTTGAGACACCTGGGCTGGACTGGGATGAAAACCCCTCATTTCTGGGCTTAACAAGAACATGGAAAGGAAAAGAAAAATAGCCCAGGGAAATGCCAGGTAGCAAACAAAGATTGTCGCTGTAGCAACAGCAGAAGGATTTGTGCTTTAGTTTTTTAGTGTACTCGGCACTGGTGAGGCCGCACAGGCTCGAATACTGTGTTCAGTTTTGGGCCCCTCACTACAAGAAGGACATTGAGGTGCTGGAGCGTGTCCAGAGAAGGACACAAGTCTGATGAGGAGCGGCTGAGGGAACTGGGGTTGTTTAGCCTGGAGAAAAGGAGGCTGAGGGGAGACCTCATCGCTCTCTACAACCACCTGAAAGGAGGCTGTAGCGAGGTGGGTGTTCTGGAAGCAGGACAGATGCATAATGGCCTCAAGTTGTGCCAGGGGAGGTTTAGATTGGACGTGAGGAAAAATGTCTTTACTGAAAGAGTGGTTAAACATTGGAACAGGCTGCCCAGGGAAGTGGTTGAGTCACCATCCCTGGAGGTATTTAAAAGATGTGTAGATGAGGTGCTTAGGGACATGGTTTAGTGGGCATGGTGGTGTTGGGTTCATGGTTGGACTCGATGATCTTGGAGGTCTCTTCCAACCTTAATGATTCTATGATTCTATGATAATACAAATCTCCCGGTTAAGTCACTACTCTCATTCCCACCGACTTTAATAGAGTAGGAGAGGTTAGATCACCATACAGCTAAGCTGCAATCCAAGCCCCCAGGGCAGGTATTTGTAGCACCAGGTGGAGGGGAGAGACAGGTGAATACAGATGGATGATTTCAGAACCTGAACTTAAAAATTCACTGAGCTTAGAATTGAAATTGGCAGTAATATTTTTTAAAGGGCATCATTAACTGCTTTTTTTTCACCTGACACTATAAACTTATAACGCCGCTTGTAATTGCTTGTTGGGAAAACATCTTTCGGTGCCAAAATCAAAAGTGTAGGCAGCCCTGTGAGAACTGAAGCACAGAACGTGAAAAGAGTCCAGCTTCTTCATATTGCTCCAAGAACACTAAACAGGCTGCAGCCCCCTGCTTTACACAAACCTACGGCCATTTTGCAGCACAAGACAGCCAGAGCCTACAAGTAAACTGCTTTCGGGATTTGTTTTACTATGTTTTAGCCAGGTAGTGAAGCTGCTGTAAATATAAACCTCAAGCAGGGACAACTGCCCTCTGAAGTGCCTCTTCCTCCATTAAATATAGGGGGAGCCTAAATTACCCTACTTATACTAAAATAAAATCCTTACATTTACACAGAGCGAGGGGAGATGGCCTTTGTCCCCATGTCAACACTGCCAGTTGTGGATGTGCGATGCAGTCAGGCAATAGAGGCAAAACAATTCCCCCAAGTGCAGCGAATCCCATTTGTTATCCCTCTGCAGACTGCAATTCTAGTCTGTTCATGCAGGCAAAAGATTTATTTTGCAAGGTCGCCAGCCTTCCCCATGAACTCCACCGGTGCGTTGTCTGAACCAGAAGGAACAATCAAAATTCTGTGTTTCACCGAGAATATGAAGAATAACGTCTCAGCAACAGCCTTTCAAGTTCAGTAATACGAAATCATCCATTTTCTTACACTAGTAAGGATCTTTTTTACTTCTCCCCTCCACTACCAGAAAACAAAAGATAAGGTTAAAGAAGGGTAAAATTGAAAGCACAGAATTTAACTCTACTGATTTCAATAGTCATTCTTGACTAAGAAAAATGAGAGAAAAATACACTTTGTGATTTGCTCTACCTTTGAAACACAAGCAGGATCCACGCAGTCATTGCACTTGATGCTGACACACCAGTGACAGTCCTCATCTCACATTCCCCAAACACTCAAAGCATGAAAAATCATCCAGCAACCACGTTGGCCCTGGGTGCAACACAGAGCTAGTCCTGGGAGAGAGGACTCATCGCACTGGGGCCACCTGAAAAGCTGGATGTCTAGTTCAGACCAGCAGCCAGGGTCCCTCTACAGCCAACGGGAAAAACACCCTTGGGAAGTCTCCTCCATTCTTTATAAGGGGAGCCATTATAAAGGGTAGGGAAATTGAGGCACAGGAGCACATACGATCACTGACCCACAGTTAAGCTCTTTGGAGAGCCCAGCCCTAAGCACGGCACGTGAACTTCTAGCCAGCCCTGCTCAAACAGCGGCTGCTGAGCTAGGAGCGATGACATTGCGTGCACACGCTGCCGTCTGATTCCTTACCAGCACTTCTTACCTAAAGGGCATGACCAGACAAGCTACAAGGAAATCTGCCATGGCTAAGGACATGATAAACATATAGGTGACGGTGCGCAGCCTCTTTTCCACCACCGGGCAGATGAAGACGACCGTATTTCCCAGGAGCGTGATCAAGTCAATGAGGGTTAGTATCAGCCCAATGACCACCTCCTGGAGGCCGATCCCGGCCCAGTTGCCACCTCCTTTCACAAAGGAGGAGGCTGCAGAGGAGAAATTAGAAAGCCAAGAGTCATTTTTGTCCATCAGCATCTTCCCACTGTTAAAATCTGAAAGAGAGGAAAGGGAAAAAAAAAAAAAAGGACTTTAATGCACATGACTTGTAGGTCTATGAAAGGAAGTACAGAAATAATGTCTGTATTTCATTTACTTCAAGAAAAAATCCACACACCCTGCTGTGTCTGTGCCATCACTGTCCCATGGTTATCAGTCCGTTAGAAGCATCTGAAATCCCGAGGGTGAGGATAAATACACAGCACTGGCTGAAGTCCTTCATGGCAATTAAAAGCCCTCCTGTGAACGAAAATGCATCATCAGGCGAAGCGTGATACAGAAAAAAAAAAAAGCACTGAGAGCAGAGAGAGGACAAGCAAGCAACCGAATCCAAAATTAAAGCAGCTCTGCTAAATCCCACTAAATAGCATGCCGTGTCCACAAAATACGGGGGTTGGAACTAGATGGTCTTTGAGGTCCCTTCCAAGCCAAAGCATTCTATGATTCTATGATTCTATATTCTCATTATCATCTTTGCCACCCGCAGACCAGGTGAGACTGCTTGCCCAGGCTGGCTGTTTTCGTAACCCCACTACTCAGTACATGCTCTGAGTTGTCCCGGTACTTTTTTAGGCTCTGAAGTGAAGAGCTTTTTACTACCATGGTGGGCAGCTCCATCCTACAGTCTGAACAGCCATGCAGAGCTGCCAGCAACCACACAGGGAGCTTAATGAAACATTCCAGGTCAGGTTGGACGGGGCTCTAAGCAACCTGATCTAGTTGAAGATGTCCCTGCCCACGGCAGGGGGGTTGGACTAGATGACCTTTAGAGGTCCCTTCCAACCCAAACACTTCTATGATTCTATAACACAAGTAAGCAAGTAGTTGAGGCATCTCAGGTGCAGCAGTGACCTCAGACACATGTCCCCTTCAGTGCCCAGCTGGCAGAGGATGCTCCCAACTCCGTAATGGGGGACTTTTCAGTCGAGGAAGTTCACGTGCTTGTGTCCACAGCTCAGCTCCCAGACTTTGACCAAGCGGTGTCACAGGTACCTGGGAAGGTGGGAATGATGCGCTGCAAAAATTCCAGCAGTTCAAAATTCACTGGTGTGGCTAATGGGAACACAAAGACAAAACTTGTGGGGAAAAGAAATTATAGAAATATGTCCAGACATCAAATTGTTATATTTGAATACCACCACTTCTCCCGTGACTGGGCTCTGCTTCCACAGTACCCTCAGGTCAATCCCACATCTCCAGGGCATCTCTACTGAGTGCAGTGTAGGAATGGGTCAGGATGAACATCCATGTAGTCCCATGTGCCTTATCTCACAGTGGCCAAACTTTGCCTTAGAAGGATCATAAGAATAAGGCAGCACGTAGCGAAATTTCCCCGATGTCTGTTTTTCCTTCCAGCAGCCTCTGATCCCGAATTACCTCTAAAGATGGTTTCAAGGACTTCTAAATCATGAAGTTGTCCTGCTTCCCCTTGGGCCCATGCAAACTTTTAGCATCCATGACCTCCTATAGCAACAACTTCCACAGCTCAGCTATGCACCGTGCAAACACCTCTTCTTGCTTGTTTTGAGCCTGTCACCAGCTAGTTTCATTTGGTGCCCTCTGGTCCTTGTATTGGAAGAGACATCACGCAAGCAATCCCCATCCACTCTCCCAATGCCACTGGTGGGCTCTTTAATCTCTGTCACACCCCTCAGCCCCCTCATCATCTCTTGGTCAGGCTGAGGAGCCTTCACCACTTGCTCATTCCTCGTACAGAAGCGATTGAGGACTCCTGGCCATCCCTCCCACTCCTCTGAGCTTCTGCGGTGGACCAAAACTGCAAACAATTTCCAAGAGGTAAATGCACTGTGGGTTTACGTAAGGGCATGATGATGTTCTCTGTTTTGTCCTGCTTCCCTTTCATAACAATCCCTAATGTGGTTTGCTGCTTTTGATTGGCACTTAGCACCGAGCTGACCTTTCCACAGAACTGCCTATCGCCGTCCAAAGATCTCGTTCCTGAGCAGTAACAGTCAGCTCAGAGCCCGCTGCTTTAGGTTGGAAAATAGGATGAAATGAGGAAATTAGGTTCTCTCCATCTTCCCCAAACTCCATCACTTCACAGTTGAATTTCTTCTTCCATTTTAATGCTCACTGAGCCTCACAAAAGCTTTTCTGCAATTCTTTAAGCCAGGCCTTATCCTTCATGCCCTGATTAAACTTTATTTCACCTGCAAATATCACCACTTCATGATTCACAATTTTTCCAGTTAGAGATTTCTTGAACCCCACGTATCCCAGCCCCTATCCCTGTAAAGAGCACTGCTGACCTCTCTTCCACACGGTAACTCACTGCCCGCTTCCCCCCTGCATTTCACCTTTCAGACAAGTATTTATTCACACACGGAACTTCCTTCTTAACTCAGGACTATTAAGTTTCTTTAAAAGCCCCCGCCATGAGGGACCATATTGAAAACCTTTCAGAAATCCAAGCAGACTACATCAACTAGGTGCCTCTCATCCACATACTTGCTGACTTCTTCCAAGCACTCCCATACGATTGTGAGGCTGGGCTGCCTTTTGTAAAAGCATTACTGACCTTTTCCTTGGATGTAATCACGTATTACACGCACCCACTCATCCTTCAAAATTCTCAGCTCCCGCCCCTGACTTCTATTTACTTGCTGGATTTAGTGGTTTCCTTTCTTTCAAGTTAAAAAATAAAAATCAAGAAATAACTAAAGCTGTCTAGAAAAAATTGAGAAGAAAAGCTTCTCCTCTGCCCCTCCTCACCGGAGCTGGGACTCGCTGACTGAGACCTGAAGCTCTCCTGCTCCTCCAGCGCTGAGAACAAGCAGGTTTGTTGGACATCAAGCTCTGTGGCAGGCCCCTGAGCAGGAGCTGCTAAAAGTCTACAGGGTGTCTTAAGCACATCAGTCTTAATGAAAATGTTCCTTGGACAACATTTCACATCCTGATAACACCCTATAAAAACAAAATAAAAAATCCTGTCTCCAGCTCTCACGTTATTGACAGGAAAGAGGATAAGCTGCACCATTCTTTCTAACAACCCCACTGAGGATGACATCAAACTGGATGAGCTCCTGCGGAACGGTTTGATTTCAATGCGACCACACTTCCTGGCAGAAAAATCGTTCAGCCCCTTCTCCTCCCTATGTGGTCCGCACAGACGGCACAGTGACGGCTGGCCGGCAAAACCACGTGGTGACAACCCGTGGCCGCACAGCCAGCCAAGCTGCAGAGCCTGCCACTGCAAGGTCCATTGCATGGTCCACATCCATCCTCCAGCTCATCTGGTCATCTGCCATCTCCCGTACCTGCTGGGAGATGCTGGCGTCCTCACACCTCCGGGGCCTCTGCAAGGTCTGGAAACAGTCGTCTGATTTCTGAGTTGACCCCTAACCAGTTTAAGCACGTGAACACCACCCAGTCAGCCCTACGTTCTCCCAGAAGAGCGGGCAGCATTAAGACAGGCTCCCAAGACGTGAACAGCAAAAAGCAGGTTTAATGAAAAAATCAGTGGTTTAAAAAAACAACGCCAGATTTTAAGGTTTAAAAAATCAGGTCTTAAGGTTTAAAAAATCTATGTCAAATATTTGGTCTATGGCCTTGAATAATCATAGATGGGAATGCCAGATTCGTTATTCGGGTTTTTCAGATGTAACACTGAAACAAGAAGGTTTAGAAGTCACGTCTTCCTTCTCCTGCAAACAATGACTGTGCTCACACGGTTGTTAAGTATTTATCAGTGTTAGTAAAACTCTAATTAAAGCAGATCATTACTTACACAACGTTTCTCTGGTACTGATCTGTGAACACACACTCCACTCTAGGGCACAGCTATTAGAGTTCATCTTTGCAAGCTCTCTATGCTACTCAAGTACCACCTTAGCCACCAGCCTGGGCTAAAAGGTCTTCTCAAGTGAAAAATTAACAGCAGGTTGCTTAATGCAGGATACATCTAGGAGCATGACACAACGATGCACAAATACAGGAGACAAATGTGCCCGCACCCACAAAACATTAAAGAAACACTCTCTTAGTCATACTATTTTTTCGTCAACACAAAGGCAGGCTGAGGGGCTGGAAATGAGACCCTCCTCATTTGACATCCATGATTTCTCTGACAACAAAAAGAAGGGGTGATGGATGCTTGAAACTTCAGGTTTGAACCCTGAAGTCTAATTCAGGCTGCAGATAACAGGGTCCTGCTGCTCCTGGCTTCTTTTCAAGGATCCCCAGGCAGAGAGTCCCTGGAAGCTCATCCACAGCCTGCGTCACAGCCAAGCACCCAAGCTTGATGTCTCTCATCTTTTTTGCCTCTGACTGGGCAGCCAGCAACTTATCTCTCGCTAAGAAGTGCTACTCCTGAACCATCTGGAGGATTGTTAATACAGGAAAGCGGGGGATGATACAATCTTAACATCTCTGTGGAAATCTTCGGGACAAAGCGGGATGTGCCATCCTTCCAAGGGATCTACTTCCACAACTGAAATATGGGAGCTTTTAAATTTTCCTGTGAGCTGCAGCAGCTCGTGCGGTTAGGCTGCTGATATAGCACAGTGTCTTTCTTTAACATCGGTCGTTCAGCCTTTCCTGTAAGGAGCCTTCTTAAACAAATGAGATAAATGTCCAGTTGTACCATGACGTGGGATCATCCCAGGTTTTCTGGGGATCTCAGATGCCTTAGGGTTTGCGTTGTCCTTATTCGGACATTGCAGTTTTGTTTCCCTTCAAAAACTGATGGGCTAGATTCTGATCTCAGGCTGCCTGAGAGAAGCAACTCCATCATTTCAGGAGTTTTCCTTTAATATACTGAAAGTTTGACCTAATATATTCAGCAGACAAATCCCAAGTAAAAGGTTAATTTCATCACTAAATGGTACGTTTTGATGGCAGGGGAGGAAAAAAAAGCTCTGCAATCTCAAGGCTGATTGCACTGTAAAATCTTATGGGAATTATGAAAATT